AACTTAACCCGTCAGTGGTCGCGATGTGAGCGCGGCGCTCACCTCGTTAGTATTTTGAGAGCCATTTGTTTATTTATTACTTGATTCATCTGATAGGTACTATTTATACCTTCAATCGACACATATTTAAGTATACTTTTGCAAATATAAAAATTGTATAAATAATTCTTGATTAGATATCGACATGCAATGTTGTTAATATCCATAAATTCAGCGTTTCACTCACTCAATAGGTCAACCAAATACTTTTTCGTAAACTCAGACCTATTTTTATGTAGCACCCAACATTTATATGTGTACTGTATAATAATCAGAAAAATATTCCAGACCACTAAGGCGAAGATGAATGATAATGATTTTCTTATTATATAATTATGTATAAAAAATTATAAATTAATATTTTTTAGTGGTTAACAATTTATAATCGAGAAAAATTGTAAGAACATTTTTTGTAAAAGATTAAACTATAAATAATTCGTTGTTGGTTTCAATATTTGATGTTCATTATATAATAAATAATGATGAAAAACAACAAGGTGAGCGCAGCGCTCACTCAATACCAATGGCGGGACTTTACATAGCGATACCAACGACGGGTTAACTTAATTATTTTAAAATAACTTAACTTAACGAGTTAAAAAAAAAACATTAACTTGCCCAGCCTTGTCGATAGTGTCGTGGTGTCATTTCTCGTTGTAGACTCTGCTGGATTGTTTATCATATGTCAATTGAATAATGTGTCCATAAGTAAGATTTTAAAAGTTTCTGATTTCTTATTATTAAAATTGATGTTAAAGTCACCATATTGTTATAATTTATAAATTATAATAATTATCTATAAATGCATAATATACGTAGTGTAGTGATATATTATCAATAATTTCTTTATATTATCAATATATGCAAGATATTTATAAATTATAAATTATAAACAATCTATCGCGAACCGTCACTAAAACTTACCGCTCCCCCTTTTTTTTTGTTCCATCCTACAAATCGATCTAATAATGCGATAATATTTCAGAAAACTGATCTGAATTCGTTAGAATGTCCATTTGAGATCTGTCAGTCCACATTTTAAAATTTCTAATTTGAATTCCGAATAAATCTAGAATAATCAATGTTTGAAAATTCCGAAATTTAAAAATATTCAAGTTAAATTTGTAGAGGTTTGGGGGTTGAAATTGTGAAAAGTGGATTGACCAATCTCAAGTAGACATAATAACGAAATCAAATCGGTTTTTAAAAGTATTATCGCATTACTAGATCGATCAGTACGATGGAATGAAAATTGGCTGTTTTGGCTAAAATAACTGTTTAACATATTATATATTATAAATTATGGTATTTCGTCAGAAACGTTTTTTTCAAGGCCAGCCCCGCATCGTGCCATCAAAAACTTCATTTTAATTTAATATTGTTGGGTTCATCTGATCTGGTTAAAACGTACGTACTAATTCCAAAAAAACAAGTGGTCGGGAGTACCGGGGATTCATGCACTAATCGTAACGTTTCTTCAGTTTCGGCGGCGGCGGTGGCTCGGCCGCTGTTGCGACAACGCGCGTCAGCAGTAGCTACTCGCTGAACGGCAACCACGATCATAGCATACGTTCCTGTTACATTCTGTTACATAATAGAAAATATCCATCACCTTTATAGTTTCTGCAATTTCTTACTATTTCTTACCGAGTACAAATAAACTTTCGAGCATCGTTTTTAGCAAATATATCATCCAATTAACTCTCATTAGTTCACCGTAGAAAATTATGCGATAAAAAATGAATAATTTAATTTGTTAAGGTACCAATATCAAAAACCACGGAAATCACTGAGGGAATAAATTTGCCAAATAAATAAACGCAAATAGAATGCCACAGGTAATAACTACCATTGACTTATGATTATAGTATAAAATCAATGTTACTAAGTACCTACTAGTTACTACTAATGTGTGCGTAATTGTATTTGAATATATGGTTAAAAAACTAATACCTAGCTAACAAATTCATACAATTTTGTAATTGCTTGTCATCTCTAGTTATTAGTAATTTATAACAATATTATAAAATAATTGTATTATGCTGTAATAGATGTATTAGGTAATTTATTAAAATTGGAATTTAACTGTGTAACTTAAACTGTTTATGAATTACGATGTAAAACTATTTAGAGTGAAGAATGAAGACAATATTATGTTGACAAAATAATTTGCGATTTTTACGAATTCCGTCCTGATTATAAAAATAAGTACGAATATTTTTAAAAGTACCAAATAGATCCAATTGGTTACTTGAAATCACCTTCGAAGTTTAAAGTCTGAGTGGAACGATGAATGTATTGATTTTACAATGATGTGTGTTTTTTTTTAATTTTTTTAATTTTTTAATTTTTTTTTGTGTCTGTCATCACGTTTTAGGACAGTAAAAGTGCTTGGATTTTCTTCAACAGTAGCTTTTCTAATAGGAAAGTGAATCTAGTTGGTACTTTGGGGGGTCAAAAGTAAAAATAGTAGTAGTTTTCCCAGTATATTATTATGGTATTTCGTCAGGAACGTTTTTTCAAGGCTAGCCCCTCGTCGTACCATATAACACTTCATTTCAATAATATTGTGGGGTTGATCGGGTTGGTACGAACTAAATTTAAAAAAAAGATGCCCGGAGTACCAGGGACTCGGGGTATAATCGTAACTTTTCTTCAGTTTCGGTGGCGGCGGCAGCTGTTGCTACACGTTGAACGGCAATCACGATCTTGGCATATGTTCCTGTTACATTATAGAAAATATCGTCACCTTACAAAGAGTACAAAATACGTTTCGCGAGTCGTTTTTAGCAAATATTATATCATAAAAATAACTCTCATTAGATCACCTTAGGTGCGATAAAAAATGAAAAATATAGATATACTAACAAATTCAAATATGTTTTTAAAAGTATTATCGCATTACTAGATCATTCAGTATGATGGAATAAAAATTGGATATTTTGGCTAAAATAACTGTTTAATATATTATAAATTATAGTATTTCGTCAGGAACGTTCTTTCCCTGCTAGCCCCTCATCTCGCCATGAACTATTTATGAAGAACCTTGTATTAAACTGCCAATAAGCATTACCTAAAAAAAATTTAATTTGTAAGTAATCTACAAAATAGTTCACAAATGTTCGGAATTTTATAAGAAATTTTGTAAGGAATTTTGTATTTTCTAATGTAAACCATTACATAATTAATCGTGCTTATGAGGTATTTTAATATTACTAAATGGCTATAGCAAGAATTATGAGGAACGTTGAATTAAATCTTCAAACTCTATGAATAACCCACAGATATATACAATAATTATTGTATATATCTGTGGACCAACCAGACATTTTTTTTATCAATGTGAACAGGAAAAAAATTTAAAAAAATAGAAAATGTAAATATTATCTATTATAATAGTTTAAAAAGAGTCAAAATACTTTGAAAATTGTACAATATATAGAAAATGCCAACCCACGTGTGTATATAGATTGTAGAAACTCATTTAACAATATTGTAAGGATCATCCTTGCACGTCAATCGCGAACTTTAAAACCTCGCATTTATTTGAACGCATATTACATACAATGATACATAGAATGCAGAAATACCTATTATTTATTTGACAAATTCCTAATTACTTTTAAATAGAATAATAAACTATAAAGTTCCATTTATTATATATATTTTATATACTGATGGCTAATCGGAGCTATGCATGTATTTTAATAAGTATTATATAAATTCAAATTAAATTAATTTTTCTGTATTTACCGTTAAATAATTACAAAACTGTTAGGGCTCCTTGGCTGCAGCCTAACCCGGCGCCCCTTTAATTCTAGTCTTGCTTACAATAGTCGGTCAAATAGAGTAGACTGAGTAGAGGAAGCTCAAATCAAAGTTCTAACCACACTAAAAGCCTTGTGGTGGTTCAACAGTGTACGGCCAAGGTACATTGCTCATACCAAATTTTTTGATGTCCACCTGTTAAAAAGTTCAATGTTCTCATCGGTACTCGTTTGACAAATAAAGGATAAAAATATCTCATTAGTTTTTTTATCATTTATTTTACGCCTTGAATAATAATTTCGTTTTTTTAATTTATCTCTTATTGGTTATCACTAGGGGCCGGAATTATATTCTTTTAAAATAGCCAAAATAAGATGCTAATATTCTCTTAAAACGTTGAAAATATTCTTCCAATGTTCTTGAAAAATCATAATAAAATATACAAAAAATATGATTTTTTATTAAAGAACGGTCCGGTCTTCGGTCCCAGTTACGGCTATGGTCCGGTCTTCGGTCCAGGTTATGCCATTACGGTCCATAATTTTTATTCTTATTTTTATTATTTTCAAGTTCAACCAATATTATATTTTGAAATCAAAATACTAAGATATTATTATATTAGTATAATATTATAGTATAATTATTACACCATTGTATTATAATAATATTAATAATAATTATTATAAATAATCGCATTTTATTATTTAAAGAAGAAATATTCATTTTAACCAAGAAAAACTAATCGCAGTCTACAATTAACACCTGTCAGCCGAACTTTTATAACTATAATCGAAACGATGGATAAATATAATTATATAAAATCGTGTTGTTAAGGCATCAAATACACATATTTAAACATAAATTATTTAATTAGAAAAAATAAAATAAAATCATAAATAAGGTTTATTCCTGTTTGCTTAGATAGACAGTTTTAATTTCTACTGTGATGACATAATAAATATTGCATATATTACATTCTTTCTTTTGAGAAATTAATAATAGTTCATTACAACTGTTAATAGGCCATATATTTGTTTTTCCAGAAGATGAAGATGATCCTGGATATGAACGATTTCTTTGGTAGGTACTTTGATAACTGATTTCAGACAGTGAATCATTGGTGTTAATTTTTCTTTTCTTTATGAACATTTCCAGATTTTAAATTAAAAAGGTTTGAGAACCTTGAGTAGCAATTATTGATTCGGCCTGTTTCTTTTTACTTGTGATGAATATGACACTCGAAATAAACCACCATATACGGATTGAAAACTAGAAGAATAATTTACAGTTAGTGAGAATATTATTCATGAACTTGAATACATTTTATCAATTCAAATAAATAAAAAAAATACAATTATACATCTTTATTTGTATACAAAATATAATATAAACAATAATTGAAACACTAATTGTCTTACCTATCATTTTGTCTATCCAAAGAATCTCGAATTCCAGTAGATGTAGATGGCTGGTCAATAGAGGACGAATTAAGTGGATCTGTAGAACGCAAGGAATGACTTGGAATTTCAACATCAGTGTAATCGGTTCTAGAACTATCTTCTATTATATTTATACTTTGGGGTTCTTCATTAACTGAATGCATTACATTGATTTCACCAATGATTGGTGGTAATTGTTCTTGATAAAATGGAGCCTACAAATATACAAACATTTATATTAATATTAACTCACATTAACTCACAATTTGTAATATTTTGTTTATTTTACAGTCAATTCACGCGGAGGATGTGTATGTTGCAAATTGAAATCATATTCCTCAATTTCGTAAGGACTACTAGCAAAATTGTATAGTTCGTGGCAAAAATGTACTGCATGTGTGTTCAGAAAAGGCCTTAAGGTATTCAGAAAATTTAAATCCCTTATTTCATAATTTGCTAGTGATTCCAATATCGAACTTGTTACAATCATATCAGCGTTCTCAGGGAAAGGCATGGGCAGACCCTCTAATCGTACAGACTCCCTTATGGCCACAACATCTCTAAGGATGAATGTATGCAATCTGTGCATTTCTGTTGGATAATTTCTGAAAGAAATAAATATGCATTGATATAGGTAATCATAAATTATTAAAAAAGTTCAAACAAATTTTTTGAATTTAACTTTTTTCCATAATAATTGAGGCAAAAGGTTTACCATTCAATATAACTGAAAAACCGTTAACAAGCAAATTTCTACTTATGTTTTTATCTTGCAAAATAATATGGAGAGCTAAATACACCTAGTAATTACTACTAAGTACTAACTAGAAGTTACTATGTTTTCTACAAAAAGTTAAACAAATTGAATTACTAAAAGTTACCAAATAAATACTAAACCCAACCACAAAATATGGCTGAAAAAATAAAAAATATTAAATAATATTGGAGAATTTTTAGAAATCATGGATACATTTAAGTGATTGGTTTGTTTTAGAAATTGTACTATAAGTTAATATATACTAGAATTGGATTGGAATAAAGTGATCTTAGAAACAAGTATAGAGGATTAAAATATTTTTGTTATTGTCCATTTTTGTAAATGTGAACTTATATAATATCTGATTATTTTCTTTCAAGAAGAACAAACAATCGCTTACGCTTAAAAAAAATAATATAATATGCTCCTAATCACACAACAAACACACAAACCATTTTATACTTACCTACGTATCTATAATATATTCCACCTAAACAACTATTAATATTAGTTATTATTGTGAAAATTATAATATCATAGTATCTACTCATTATATTTCTTTAAAATTATAAAAAAAAAATTAACATTTTTCAACAACTCCTAGTTGACAATCAAAATTAGACTGAGGCAAAAACCCATCATCAAATGACTGTACTTTAAGTCATTTAACTTAAGTCATTATGAATTATTTTGTATTCATACCTACTTATTTTACTTTAAATAACATCTGAACAATATGAAATAATAATAGTAATTTTTTTTTTTTAATCTATAATATTATACAATCTATACTAAGACAAAGTTTAATAAGCATAATGGATGATTTATTTTTTTTTTAAATTATGTGCCTTGAGGGAAGAAACCATCCAGTGAAGGTACTTCGGCAATAATAATAATATCAATAACAATAATAATAATAAGTCTTATAAAATAAAGATAAAAATATTATACAATATTATTTAAAGTAAAATTTTAGATTAAAATAGAAAATTATTATTTTAAATTTTACCGGTAGTAAGCAGAGGTACAATATCTAAAACGGCCAAATATATCGGGTAATGGTAAAGCCCATGAATTTCTAACATACACTTGTATTCTCATTTCTTGACCTGAAAGTTAAGGGAAATATTAAAATAATAAATAAACTAAGAGAATGCCATAAACGTGTGTGTTGTCTCCACCTTACAAATCAACAATATATCAAATTTTACGTTCATAATAATCCATTTTACTCTCTTATTTTTAAAGTTAGAGTCAAATTGACTTCATTTAAAATTTAAAGGTAAGATGCAGGACACCTCAGAAGCTATACTGCTATGTTGTACATTAATAATTGTAGGACGGAATCAACACATGTTAGTGACATTCGCTTAATAAAGTTATAATGAATACCATTGATTGGTATTTGGAAATGAAGACGTGGCAAGTACTGAGATGGGTGATAAAATTGACCATGATTGTGGATCCCTTCCACTTCATTCAAGCCAAATACATTCCGGGAGGTACTTATTGACTGGTTTACACGATCCATATTCAAAAACCAATGCATATTTCTGAACATTCTAGACAAAGTATGAAAATCCAGTAGTCATTTAATTCTTTTTATATACCGTAGGATACTTTATAAATAAATAGATAATAATTATTTGAATATACAATTCAACTATATAATATTATTATATAGTTATAACCAATAACCATTGGTGTTTGGGCAATTTAACTAATGTATTTGAGTCAATAATTTTAAAATATTGCTGAAACACATTACAGAAATATTTTATCAATGCATTTTGCCTCTCGTTTAACATACATGGAATCATTTGTGAATTTCACTAGTATTATCAAAAATGCCAAATCTATAATATTGTTATAAAATTACATATCAAAAATAATATTGCATATTTTTTGTCTCGGAATTTGAATGTACAAATAATATATTATGATACATATCATATAATCCAAATTTTATCTGACATGTACTTGTACACAGTTGTATGTAAATATTCTTGATTGCCTACTAAAACTTTTTGACAAATATACTATAATTAGTAATTTTATCTACAGCATTGATTTGAGTGTTATTTTTATTTTACTTTGTTGTAATGAAACGGTTACTTTAGAGATGCACAGGAGTAATAAATCCATCTTTGGTAAGCTATACATTATAACTAAGTTATAACAATAATATAATGATATTTCTTTCCCAATAGTCAAGAATAATTGATATTTGTTAATTCACTGATAGATATTACAACTATATTCCATTAAATAAATCTATAAATAAAATATAATTTGCTTCTATGCTCTATTGTGAATAAAAGTACAACAGTACGCGAATGCAAAAATGATGAAGGGGGGAGGTATATGGGTATGTAGGGTTCATGTGCACACTCAACGTGTGTTATTGTCCACCCCCTAGTGTAGGTACCTACTCTTATTCTGAAAGAGTAAAGGTATTTTTATAATAAGCACCTACCTTGATACATTTTTAAACAAATGTTAAATAAATTAGATAAATTGTTGATACTTTATATTCTAGATTGAATATACAATTATAGTAAACATATGTTAAATAGTATTTACCTAATAATTAATAAGTACTATTTACCTGTTAATATTTGATATATGAAAGCATGGCCGTATGGATATTCTTGGTCTTGGACTAGAAAAACAAACATTGTTATAAAAAATATTGTAAATTTAAACATCATATATCAATGTTATAAAATAATGTGTTTCTTACCACGGTAGTATAGGAACAGTATATGTTTCAAAGCCGCCTAGATTATCAAATGAATGATAAATGTATGTGAAAGTTTGCTTACATAATGGACAAGTTGGTTCTGACTAAATAATAAATACACAAGAACATAACCGTTGTGATTAAAACATGTTATAAGTATGAAACTTTTCAACAAGTTCTTAATTAATTGAATCAATTATTATATTATCTGCATTAAGTAAACTAATAAATTAATAAGTTAGAATTTTTCGATTGTACTAAATAAAGACTTCAGAAGACAAATATGACATTTTTCTGATGTTCAATTTAAGTTCAGTCTTCTACCTTTTAAGCTATTATTAAACCTTATTTATAAATTTTAAATTACTGAGAAAACATTCAATGTACATTCAAATGAACGGTAGTAATAATTAATGTGAATGTCATAATAAATAAAATTTACCTAACTTTCATATTTATAATGAGAATAAAACAGTATGTATTCCAAAACCATGTAAAATAGTCAATTTCTATTCAAGACATTTTGATACAATATGATATATACAATTTTAACAACTAATTATTAAGGATTAACTAAACTTACAATTGCAGATCGTTGTAAGCACTTATTTGACCACGATTGTAAACAACCAAAACAAAATAAATGCACACATGCATTGGTATAACATTTATTGGTTAAATCATCCAAACAAATTGAACATTGTGGATCTGGTTTTGAAGGGCGTCCAGTAGGTTCGTTATTATGAATGTCCATTGTTAATTATTGATAATTAATAGCTACTCTTCACTCTCGATGACAACTCCACTACAATGTAAGGTTCAGATTATAAGATTATTGACAAATTAAATCATTGTAAAATAAAAAGTAGATTAATTATTCTGTAAAAATAAAATTAGTTAAATAAAGTAAATATGGAATACCTATACATAGGTACTTCATTAATATATGTTGTAATAGTTGTCTATTGGCAATTAATTATTCTACTGATTAGAATAATTTACTTCCAATTTAAATACAACTCTAAAAAAAAAAAGTTTAACTTACAACCTCTGTGAGCATGCCTAAGAGAACAGAATAGTATAGAACACAAGCTACTGAATACATCATAAATTATGATAATTACGATAACTTGGATGAGCATCGCATATAAATTTAAATAGTCATTCTATCCGACAGTCCCTATTATATAATATATAGTATATATTATGTACTTGTAATTTAAATGAATGTAATAAGAGAAAAATAACAATTTATTTTAATGATATAAGATTTAAATTTAAAAAAGGGTGATAAGTGGTTAGTACAGTACTGCCCACATAAGGCTGGGCATTAACGAGTTAAATTTTAAAATTAAGTTAAAACGTAAAGTTAATTTTACCGTCAACCAGGCCTAATTGTGGCAGTTTTGAAATTCTATTATAAATAACTTTAAGTTTAATTATTCTAGAGGTATTTTCAATATAACATTTTTTTTAGTTAAGGTTTAATTTATTAATTTCTGTTGCATTTGAACCATACAAATTATTCCTGTGTTTTTTTTTTATTTTTCTGCTTGCCCCATGTAGTACCAAATATCGACAACATGGGGCATTCATGTTTTTCTTTTGAAAAATCTATTTTATAATTTACTCAAACCAACTTGGGGCACTATTTTAAATTTTTAAAAAATACTAGATAATTTTCTGAACATAGTTAAAAATATATATACCTAAGTAGTATTTAGACTAAATTTTAGCTAAGTTAGTCTTGTTTAAATTTAATATAATGATCCTAGATATAACTTGGACCAGGGTTGAATAACAATGCCCCAATTTGGACCAAATGAGTTAAACGTAATTTACAGAAATGTATACAGTATTTACATAAATGTAATAATTTACATTATGGAGTAGTAAATTTAACACACATCCGAACATATTTTTTATTATCGATTTGTATGTAAAGCGTTTCATTCAATGAGTATTAGTATAAGTTTTCGGAACTTTTCAAAACGATAGATATTAGACACAAAAAGAATTAATAAAAATTAATACTTACGTTGAAAATTTGATGTTGCGACACTTGCAAAATGATTTTACATATTTCTAAGATAACAACAGAATACTTTTATCACAAGGAGTGTCTAAACACAGGAATGGTGCAATGATTGTACGCATGCGCGCCTGAACAAATAATTCAACAATGATTGTACGCATGGTGTGATAACCGGTATTTTATTATCAGTTATATAACATAATAAGAGCGGTAAATTCAAATTTGTACAATGTAATCTCATTACATGTTATTAAGTTAATAGTTAAAAGTTTATAAATAATGATTTGAGGGGTTTTTTTATCATAAAAGGAATGGCTATCATAGAATAAAAATAAAAATATACGACTAATTTAAAACTAGCCAGTCCTAGTCCAATTAAACTCTTTTAAACATTTTTTTTTTTAATTTTCATAAAATGAATTTTAATTGTGAAATTTGTCATATTGGATTCTCAACAAAGTTTTCATTAAGACCAACAGTGGTCCTCCAAATAAAAAAATAATAACACAAACCAACTTTTACTCAACTAAAAATAAAAGACGAAAAATCGAAAATGATTTGACAAAAACTTCCAGACTTGAAACCCGAGATTTAAGAGATTTGTTTTTAAATAAGAAAGTTGAATGTCTTAAAAGAACAAGATATTGAACATTCATATTTTAAAGAACATTAGATTTTTTATTTCATTAATTCACCTAACTATTGATGTACAAATTATTAATTATTATTCTTGTATATACCTACTTTGTGTTTTTAATTATTCTAAGCTTGTAACAATAATTGTTAATGACTACTAACTATTAGTTTGTTCTTTGATATTATGTAATTTTTGAATATTTTGATAACTGATAAGGCAGTACCGTACAATCATTGTTGAATTGTTTGTTCACATGATTGCGTTCAATCATTGCACCATTCATGTGTTTAGACTCTCCTGTATCACATCAATTAATTGATAAGAGATCGTTATGGAGTTAAAACTAAAAGATAATATTTTTGCCCCAAGTTAAACACGCGCCCTAAGTTGGCCCGGTTGACGGAAAGTAATTTAATTAAATTTTTACTTTTTTTTCAAATTAACTTTTAACTTAATAAGTAGGGCTGGAAATGCAATGTCCTATAAAACCCTAAAAATTACCCTTAACAAAATGCTTTAATGCCCTAAAAATTCTAAATAATGCGCTACAAAAATGCAGGTAAATTGTTATTTTTTAAAAATTGCAAAATACGACTGATAAAATAAGTGATTAAAATAATTTTTCTATATGCTAAACTTCGTAATTCGAAATATACTTTGCCACTCCCCCGATCGCAAACTTGTTATCTAAGTTTTTCTACAATAGGAGATACGAGTAGGTATTGAAACATGGGACAAAACCGATTGAAAAAATGAATATTTTCATAACAATTCAGGATCTTAAAATAAACTTGATCTATTTGCACAGTTGTATTAAGTAACTTCTTGTTTACATTATTCAATTACAATACAGTGAATATCATCCATATTTATTTTTTAACATTCTATCGGTTTTGCATTAATAATAATGGAGTTTAACAGTACTACTGCGGTCCTCTTGTGAGTGTTAAAGTATAGGTATACTGTTGTTAAAACATCTATTTTATTTATATTAGCTACATATTAAAAAAAATAACGCAATCAAACATAACAATTTCCAACCCAGTACTGAAAATACAAAGGTGGGCATAAACTTGTTATAAAGTTAAAGTTAAGTTAAAATGTTAATTTTTTTTAACTTTTTAACTTGACTAGTTAATCATTTTTGGTGTTAGCTTATTAACTTATTGAGTTAAAATTTCCAAAGTAATTATATAAAATACATAGGTGTTAGGTATATAGAATACCATATTTTGTACCAATATTAAACATTAATACAATAATAAATTATAAATTTCTGGTAACGATGTTGAAAATAATTAAGTAGTAAATTACTTACTGGACTTTTGGAAAATGTTGTGTAAAATAAAGTTTTTATTCTAAATAACAATAAACGCAGAACTTGTATAACGTTTTAATTCTGAATAACGATAAACACAAAAATTGATAATTATTTTATTCTGAATAACGATAAACGGAAAAATTGTGTAACGTTTTAATTCTGAATAACGTAAATCGGAATTTTTTTTTGAAATGCAAGCTCTGTTTAAAACTGATAATTTCATAAATAGAATAATGCGAAATAAGCAATATCGGTTAAGATATACTGGATACGGAACGCAGTGCCTTATCAACTCATATTTCGTGGCAATAACTTCTTACGTTACAGCTAGACCGCTAGCTCTTTATAGGATTGTTCTGTGGTAACCGGGAGAGTAAGGAACTAATAAATAAATAGATCATTATTCTCCTGGTTAACACAACAATCCTATAAAGCACTGTGTACCATGCCATAGTCTAAGAAGGTTTGACTATCAACTCATAAGCGCCCGTTCCGTATCCAGTATAACTTAATTCGTGGTTTTGCCCCCGTTTCGATTTTACCCCTACCTATTTTATTGTTTGTTATTAAAAAAAAAAAAAAATATCTATATTTTATAAATTTATATTATAAAACCCGCATAAGCGTGTAAAATCTTAAAATAAAATTTCAAGCTTCAATTTTGGACCCAAAACTCCAATAATGCCATATAAACGATATAATGTCTTAAAAATTGAAAAATATGACGTTAAAATCAAACACTTTCAAAAGTTAAAAAAAAATTTTCTTATTCTCATTCAAAAGTACATGTTACGGATTTGTGACCAGGTGACCAGGCATCGTACAGCACCCTCTGGAAAAAAAATGAAAAGTGAATCGAAATCCCAACCTTATTAATATAAGTCACTAATTTTTCAAGATAAATGTGTTAACTTCAAGTTCATTTTATTTCAAAAGTATCTAAATCATGTTAATTTTTGTCCGAAGAATTATGCAAATTTTTGAATGGGTTTTTACTTTGAAACATCATTTTAAATTTCCCCAGTAATTTACATGAGCGTAAGGAACCATATTATATGTCTGGAATTTTTTATATTTGTAAATTAGCAAATTTTAACTTTACACTTAGTATAGTTACTAATTGTTTCAAAGTTAACTCTTAACTTAACGAGTTAACGAAAAAAAAAATATGAGTAACTTTTAACTTAATTTAACTTTATTATTTTAAAATAACTTAACTTAGTGAGTTAAAAAAATCGTTAACTTGCCCAACGTTTGCACTACAGTAATTGCCGAGTATCCCATTGTAACGGATGTGTTAAATTTGAATTTAATGATAGATAATTGAATACGTAATACTATTCTGAGTGGAGGCGTTGTTTCAGGCTAGCATACTTGTATAAATAATAAAAGTTCAATAATTATTAAACTATAATATAAGTATCTATGGCTTTAAGTTTTTGAGCTATAGCAAAAAAATTTAATCGGTAAAAAAAAAAAATTAAATTTGCGTAAATATTAACATTTTCGGTATATAAAATTCAAGTCAGTTCTTTCGGAAACTTCTAGGAATTTTACATTTTTGACCCATTTCAAACATCAACTAGATTCATTTTCCCATCAGATAGATGTTGAAGTGGAAAATTTTCAGCATTTTTAGTAGGTATAAAAAAAGTTGACGACAGACATAAAATAAAAAAAAAACATGAACCATCATAAAATCAATACATCCCTACTCTCAGAATATAAAATAATATTAATAATAATCGAAAATATCTCATGTCTATAAAGAGCGTTATTTTCCGCTAAACTTTTAGGTAGAAAAAGTTTTGAGGATTTTTTTGTAGCATTTTTAAATGTAACCTAAGAGAAAATGTTTTTATGAATATATAAATAAAACATATTTAAATTCATTCACCTTTTGTCTATGCTTTGTAGGAAAAACATTTCATATTTTTGTTTCATTGACCCTCTAAACTGTATGAATATATTGAGAAATTGAATAAATTATTTGGAACCACACTAAACAAACCATTCAAAATATTGAAAATATATTTCATACAAAACATAGAAAAAATGCTATACCATTGATTTATTTTTCAAAATTAAAACCGTCTAGTAGAAGTGTATTTATTATTCGCCAGCTTATTGGCATTATTCAGTGTTCCGTATGTACAAAAATATTTTCGAGGTTCTTCAATGACTTGTAGGTACATAATATTATATTCGGCACGTTCCCTCTATTGTACCGCACTCACATTAATAATCATTTACGAAACTAATACAAAGATCCTCAGCAGTGACAACATGAACAATCACCTAATTTTTCTACTCAAACAATAGCCACTAAGAGCAGAACGTCTAGCGTTTAAATCCCTCCGAGCATGTGTTGATTTTATTTTTGCTTTTTTCGAGGACCCAATCAAGAATGTCGAATGCAAATTAATTTAATGAAGACATAAATTGTTAATTTCGTTAAAATAGTTTACGAATTCAATAGTTTTAATTTTGTTTAAATCTGAAATTGTTAAGAGGACGTCACATCCGCATGTGTTGTCTCCATATTACACACGCACGACATTGACAAATTGTGTTTACGCAGTCTCAGTAGAACTCGCACAATTTTGGTTCTAGAGTAAAAATACATATTAAAAAAATTTAATTGGGACAATATTTCTGAGGTAAAGTCGTTGCTTTTTTTTTTTAAATTTAAATTTTGAAAAGTTTAAGGTATTTTAAAAATATTGAAATTTTTTCCATTTCAAAACGATATAATGAACGTTATATTGCGTATAGGTAATGGAAAAAACGGAACGACTTGAACACACAAATATCATCACAGTTAAATTTTATAATAGGTATTCTTACTCTAAAACCAAAATTGAGCGAGTTCTACTCAGTTTTATTTATTAAATAAAAATATAACACATAGAAGAGTAGGTAGGTATGTCATATTTTCCTGTAGGTAGTATACTGCAAGAGTAAGATTTTCTGGTACCTAGGTTTAGGTAGCATTTTTCGGTAGGTGACATACCACGCGATAGTTCAAGTATACTAATAGATACGCTACCATGGCTATAGGTACATTATTATTTAAAATTTTATTTTATATAAATGTACTTAATAAGCAATCAAACTCTCGTTATATCGAAATTTGAGAGCTACAGAAAATGTTCGAGATGTCGAGTTCTAAAAGGTTTAGTTATTTCAAATTTGAGTTCGAGATAACGAAAAATTCGAGATATACCTAGAGACGTTTTGCATGGTAACATTAAGAATCTACCACAATACTGTACGTCTGTGAAGTTGGCACCCCCACTTTGAGATATCAACTTCAAACCAGTGCCAATATTTTGCAACTGATTTGCAACAATTTGCCACACCGGTTTTGAAATTTGCAACTTCACCCATTCTCTGGGAAATCCGATTTCCTGATGGGGTTGCCAACTTCACGCAGCACCCCCACTTTGAGATATCGACTTCAAACCAGTGCCAATATTTTGCAACTGATTTGCAACAATTTGCAACACCGGTTTTGAAATTTGCAACTTTCCCCCATTCTCCGGAAAACTCGATTTCCCGATGGTACTACTATCAATTATCACGGCCATTTTTTTAAAATTATTTTTTTATTTATTAACGTTATAAATTATTAATAAATGACACCTAATTCAAAAATAATTTATAATAGGTACTTATTTAGGTATAAAATATAATATAATTCATAAAAGTTATAAAAAAAAATTAATAGCTCTGAGGGATTTAAATTATAATTATAAATTTAATAATAACTTTCCGAATTCCGTTTATTATTATTTAGTACTTATAGGTACACAATTAAGTTTTTTAAGTTTTTAGAAAAAAATATCTGATTTTTAACATATTATGGTACATTGACACGTTTTATAATCTTTATAGTATTATAATTATAAATAACTATTTAACAAATGTGACTTGATTTTAATAATTAACCTAGGTACTGTATTATTAATAAATAATAGAATAAAAATTACTTATATCAATATAGACAATAAAAAAAATATGACCTGTGTATTTGATTTGGTGCTAAAATTACTTAAAAGATCGAGCCTTGGTTATTACTGCGCAATTTTTTTAAATTATATATATTAATTATTAGTCATTATTATAAAAAATTGCATTATTTTTTGTAAGAAATAATTTATTTATAATTTTTAAGAAAAATAACTCAAATTTAATTTATAATATTGATTAAGAAATATTAAATTGACATTCTGGTTAACATTTTTTTATTTAATTTTAATTTTAATAGTATTTATTAATCAATATTATAAATTAAATTTTGAGTTATTTTTCTTAAAAATTATAAATAAATTATTTCTTACAAAAATTAATAAAAACTATGTATATTATAAGAATTTATTATTCATAATAATGATTAATAAATACGATTAATAAAAATAATAAAAACAATTAATATAAAGGTAAAATAAAATCAATTAATTATTAAAACATTACGAACAATAATAACTCATAAATATAACTAATATTTGGCATATCACGTATAACCACCACTTGATTTTTTGACTTCAATCCAGTGACAATATTACAAAATTAATTAAACATAAAACATTAGTTTTCTGCTAATTGTATTAAACATTATGATGCATTCTTACTTAATGCTATCATTTTCAACCCATAAAGTGGGTTCAACCCTTTACATTTGAAAAATGATATCCTTTTAAATTCATACTAAATCTACTTCCCAGACAAACACCAATATTTCAATTCATTCAGAACATAGATTCCTCTATGTAAAATTAATTTATATCGGATTTGCACCATAATGAATATCCTATTGCCCATTTACCATGGAGTAATTTACAATATTTCAAACAATTTTCCTTTATTAAAATTAATTATGTCTAACACTTAAAAACAAATTCACTTTAATTTAATCAAATACATTGTATGATAAATAACATTTTAAAAATATAAAAGACAAATTTAAAAGAAATGTTTTCTTTTACTAATGAACAAATTACATAGGAACTTCTATCTCTTACTTTACAGTTAACAAATTTAATTAACTTTCAACTATTTTACAATATTAAGATATATACACTATTTAATCAACTTGAATATATATTAGTGGATGTGCATTTAATTTTGTGTTCTGGGTTTGGCTAAATCTTCTAATTTTTGATTGGATGTCGTTATGAGTTTCCCAATTATTTTCACTTCTCCTAATATGCACTACATAATGGTCAAATCCCCAGGTCACTATACCATAAAGTATAAAACTGAAAATATTTGACACCAATTAATTAGCATTTTATCTTAAAGTGATAAATTTATAAATGTATGTTATATCTATCAATACAAACAATTTTTAAAAATTAATTTGTCAAATATTTATATTATAATACCAATATAAGAGTTATTTTGTAAATTATAAGATGGATAGAAAGAGGTATTAGATTATGAGCATGCGTTACTAAAATAATTAAAATATCAAAAAAGATTTATTTAAAAATTAAAAAAGCAGACTAAAGAATGAATTAAAACTCGAAGAGTATCATGAAAATAAATCAACCACAGAAAGAACAAAACAGAATATACTTCTAATGAGATATCTAAATATCGGTGATAAAGGTAGGTTCTGGTATTACAGTAAAATATCAATATAAATTTGCATCTTTTTTAAAAAATGAAAAGGGTACATTTGTAAATACTTTCTGTCACCATAAAGTATAAACAAATGTCCCTGAACATGATGCTTATCCACAAGAATTGAAAGATTTATTCTACAGTAATCATGAAATTAAACTTTTAAAAAGATAAAATAATATGTTTGCAAAGAAAAAAAATTGAAGGAGAGAGAATTGAACATTAGAAAAAGCACCTTATATTAATTAGACTATATAATACATATATGTATATATATATACATAAATTATATTATTTATAAACATTTATATAACATTGATATATTTATATTTTTTTGTACTTAAAATTTTATTTTTTTAATGTATACAAAAACATTATTTACCTAATGTATACAATAATATTACATACCTACCTTTTATTATTCGTATTTAAATTCTTAGGGATTTCGTTGATGTTAAATTGGCGATCATCCTCAAATACATCCGTTTCAATGAATAAATGGCTTTGAAGGTTTCTTTTAGTTTTCAACATTCCATTATCACATTCTGTACAATCATACTCTTTAACCTGCGTATATATGTTAAGTAAATCTTCTATTCCAGACAAATCTTGTTGAAATCTTAAAATGATGGTTGGACAATGGACATGATGCTTGTCTATTTGAATTCTGGCAATTTTGATTATTACAGTTCATATCTTCGACTCCGGATGGAGAATTCTTTAATAACGAAGTTATAATATATGATATGTTACATTTAGCATCAATAAGTCTAACATGCGTTATTCCTTCATCTGCACTGAATATATTTTTAATGAAATTTACACGTTCTGTGTAAATTTTTTTTGATGAACCATTTAGTGCAAGATCTTTACAAAACTTTAAAAATATATTACTACTGTTATCGATAAATTCTCTGTATGTTGAATAGTCAATATACGCCATAGCTATAGCGGTGTCGCGTCATTTGGTCGAGGTAAGAAGAGCGAGCGTTAAAAGAGCGAGGTCATTTGGTCGCCAGCAATTTAATCGCGGTACATAAATAGCGTTAGCTATTTGAGCGCGATAACAATATGACACTGATATTGAAACTGCAGTTTATTAGTGTTGGTTAATCAGTTCGATTATGCCATTTGGGATTTAACGTGCGTGCAGTGTGCTAAATATATTATTAAATTAAATAAATTAAATTGTATTAATTATTTAATTAATATTATGGCATTAATGAATGTATTAAGTCAGACAGGTAAACATTTATTAGTACACAATAATTTTATACATCGAAAAGAAAAGACCACTAATGAAAAAAATATTTGGAAATGTAATGATATAACTGTAGACCCGGATTAATATGCACTAAAAAGTTCAAAATATGCATATAATATGCAGTAAAAATCATTAAAATATGCAAAAAATATGCAATAAAAAAAATTATATTAAAAAATTAAAAATTATGTTAAGCACGAAAAAAATACAAATATTTAAATTTAAACACATACAAATAAATACATAATTATTTCTATTTAAAAGAAAAAACAAAATATACAACTCAAAATGTGTGTTTTTATTCTTTATTGTTAAAAATAATTATTAAATGATATTCAAGTTTTTCTTCGGTAAAACTGTGCCGTGACGGCGCGGACTGGCTGGGATGCTGGGATGCTACAGCATCCCTTGCCCCAAAATATATTTCATAATTAATATTATTTATTATATATTTAAAGACTCTAGATACCTAATGAACAGCAGATCGTTATTACCAACTTAAGATTATATGATCTATGATATTGTACAATTTTTATTGAAAGTTTGTTGTAACTTGGTACTCATTTATGTTTTTAACGTATATTCAATATTTAATATTTTTTCAAAACAATATAAAATATATTAATATTTTATATTTTTTCAAAACAATATAAAATATATTAATATTTTATAAATTATCTAGGTTGGTACATGTCTTAAATTTGCCCTAACAATTTTCGTTATTCGCCCTTTAAATTGTGTAGCATCCCTTGCCCTTTTTTACCAGTCCGCGCCTGCCGTCTATCTGTTAATAAATGCTTGTATATTGAAAATGATCGTTCAACATCTACCGAAGTTATTGGAGAAAATTTAAAAGAGTTTAAAATCATTGGATCTTTATAGTTTTGATCTAGTTGAACCACTTCCGCTTCCCCTATTAATACTTTATTAATGTTACGTAATACTGTTAGGCCTTTGTTTTTGGAAAAAATATCATTTAATTTTGTTTTTAATGTTGCCCCTTTTGGTCCAGGAATAATGTTTATTTTTTCTTCTAGTTCACTTATCAAACGAAAACTCTCAGATAAAAGCATATTTTGAGTTTCAAGTTTTTTAATTATTTCAACTAAAAATGACAAATGAGTTGATATAAATGTTAATTCATTCACAGTCGATCTATCTTAATTAATATCGAGTACTTTTTTAACGCATTGTGCATCGTCTTCTGCGAGCTTTTCAATTACCTTTTGGTATTTTATAAAATATTTTGCGTAATATAAAGCAGCAGCTATCCATGTACCCCACCTTGTTATTACTGGGGCCGGAGGTAAAGGTATATTTTCCATTTCATCTTTGAAAATTGAAATTCTACTCGGTGATTTTAAAAATATTTTTTTTCCATTATTGATTAAAATATTAATGTTAGGAAATAATTCACGAACTTCTTCAGCAATTAGATTACAGGCATGTGCAATACAAGTCACATGTATCATATTAGAATAAAACAACTTCAAAGATTTTCCTGATTTTACCATGTACGGAGCTGCGTCTGTCAATAAGAGTAATACGCGTCTTTCCATGCCTACATCCGTCCATAATAATTTAAATTTTTAATGAGTCATTTATGAATTGACTTATAGTTTCGTTATTCGTTTTATTTAATTGTTTGGATGCCAAAAGATAAGGTCGCCCTGCATAATCCTTGTTTAAGACACCCACAAGTAAATTAGCGATGTATAAGTCCCTCGCATCAGTGGTCTCATCAACTACAACGTAAATAAAATTGTTTCCAATTTTTTCTTTTATTTCGTTCATTGTCTTTTGATAACAAATTGATAAATAATTTTTCCGCAATGAGCTTTCGTCAGGTATAGATTTATTGGTATATTTTTATTAGTAATTTCGAAACGGTTTGCTTTGTAATTTATATAAAGTTATATCGGATGAAACCATGGCGAAACATAAATCTATATAAGCTAGTCGAAATTAATTGTTGTTTTTGAAATTTTCTTTTAATTGCAGACACATGCACCACTATAAAAGAAAAAAAATCTTTTTAAAAACTATGTTTATATTACGCCTGCATATAATTAAATTAATTGTTTGAATTAAAGAAGTACCTGTATTCATATGTTGATCTAACTGTGATTTTCTTTCAGAAGCTATTTGTTTTCCACATGCGTTACAAAATATTATTTTACCATCCGAAGTAAAAACTTCTGCATTTTTGTTTGCACAGGAAATCCACTCACGTATTTTAGAACTAAAAGAACTACTAACTTTTGGCATTTTTTTTTTATATTAGTATAATTTTTTATATTATTAATATATAATATCAATTTGTTATTCATCATTAATTAATTATTTATTTATTTAATTGATTTGAAACTCATGTAAATATACATGATAGACCTACCTATATTTTGAGTAATATCGAATTATGTCTTATCATAATACAATTTAACCGCCAGAATTAATATTTTATTGAGTATATAATTTAACTAACCCAACCCAGCCACCGCATCAACTATTAATATATATATATACATTTATTTATTATAATATGCATGTACCAGGTACCTACAGACCGATTCTGTGGCTATATCGTGTATATTTATAACCGAGTGGGCAAAAGGACAAAAGGCAGTAAAATATAATATAATAACGCAGTTTATTGAATCAAAAAATCGAACTTTTCGTTGCATATTTTCATTTCCGTATTTTAACAACACGCACGACCCCCCGAGTTACCTAACCTAACGCCTACCCTACCTGACTAGATACTGAGATGAAAACTGGAGTCAAATCTATGACTCTTAAGCCGCGTCGCCGTCCCCGCGAATGGCGAACGCGGGTCGCGAGTCCGTCAAAGGGCGTTTGAGCGGGCGATCCGACCGCGTCGGCAAGCGGACGACCGGCCCCTCCGCCCTCGGACGTATAATTCGCAAGATTTGCGAAAAAAAAATCGAACCTTGAGACGCATGTATTTATGCCTGTATATAGCGGGTACCTACTCGACGGCGCTATAGGCCGTCGGCTTTCATCGACGCCGCTCCTCGTCTAGAAAAAGAGGGGCCGCGCGCTGGCTATAAATTTAGAGGGGAACGCGAATAAGTCGTCTACGCGGAGGGTGATACGACCGAAAGGGGCTAAAACTCGATTTTCGAAACACGGCAAATAGAGCAGTCATATTATAGTGGTACTATTTAACTACCAGAATTTAATCAGTTCTATTGGATCTATTAGTTTATTAATATCGTAATTAAACAGTATTCTTATCTGTAGCAGTATTTTAAACCTTACCAAATCGGAATCACCTAAAAACTGTAATATATCAAGTAGGTACTACAAAGTATACATGTAGGTTAGTTATATTGTATTTGTACTATTGTCTATTCAAGTATAAAAGAACATATAGGTGAGTTGGTCACGGTAAAATCAAGTATTAATTAAATGTCAATTATTATTATTATTTATTAAATAGTATAGTATAGTATAGTCATATACTCATATCGTTATACGATTTAAGTGTCCGAATTTCATCTAACTTCATTACAATTTAATATATCAAGTAGGTACCTACTTTATTATAAATTTAGTATTTTTTTGCTCAATAAATATTGTTAAACGAATAATAATATACTTATATAAATACCGATATATATAATATAATAACGCAGTTTATCGAATCAAAAACTCGAATTTTGAAAAAAAACGGAACACTTTCGTTAAATATGATAAATGTGACGAAAAAAAAAAAACCCGAAAAAAGAAATTCGATTCTTCACGGCTGCCGCAATTTATTGTTAATCCCAGCGGCCGGGTACGAAACCACGATCCTCGAGTCACCCGTCCTACCGCTTAACCTAATCTAACCTACTGAGATGAAAACCGGAGTCAAATCTATGACACTTAGGAATTACCTACATTTAAAATATGAAAAAGAAGTACCCGCGCGGCTGAAAACAACGGTCGCGCCGCGACGCGACTATAGTCGCGCGACTACAGCCGCGCGCATAGGAATCGCACCTTTAAGCCGCGTCAAAGGGCGTTTGAGCGGGCGATCCGACCGCGTCGGCAAGCGGACGACCGTCTCCGCCGCCTTCGGACGTTCAAAGCGCGAGATTCGAGAAGAAAATCGAACATCGAGAAGCATGTATTTATGCCTGTATGGCTGTATATAGCGATACCTACACGGTACCTACTCTCGTTTCCGCGCCGCCGCGGACTCGGGACTCGTCTGTGAAAAAGTAAGGCCTCGCGCCGGCTATGAATTTAGCGGGGAACGCGAATAATAATATTCATCCAATGTTGTAAAAATTTGAATTTGACTTAATTATAGACATTTTTTTTTTATGGAATAACATCCAAACGGGGAGGGTAATACCACTAAAACGGTTCAAGACTCGAATTTTAGAAAAAAAACGTCAAAAAACGATGCATCGCATGTATTTATGCCTGTATATAGCGATACCTACACGGTACCTACTCTCGTTTCCGCGCCGCCGCGGACTCGGGACTCGTCTGTGAAAAAGTAAGGCCGCGTGCCGGCTATGAATTTAGCGGGGAACGCGAATAATATTCAAACGGGGAGGGCAATACGACCGAGAGGGGCTAAAACTCGAATTATTGAAAAAAACGGCAAAAAAAAAGAAATCGAACTCTTCGACGCATTTATTCACGCCCGCGTGTATAGTAATAAAGACACTGTCCGCTCTGCTAAATCATTTGACGGGGAACGCGAATAAGTCTTCGACGGGGAGGTCCGAAGTCCGTAGAGGCGTTAAAACTCAAATTTTGAATCGGAAATCGGGACATTTTCGGTAAATATGATAAGACGGAAGTGATAGCGAAACGAAGAAAAAAAAATTCCGATTTTACCACGGCCGCCGTAAATCACCGATATTCACGGGGACCAGAATCGAACGCACTGTTACATGCGGCCCTTCAGGGATCCAAAAGCTTGTTGCACTTTTACAATAAAATGTAGTCAATTTAAATATAAATCAATTGTAATTTATTAAAAACCAATATTAATTAATATAGTCGTGGTGAATTGCAGCGTCGTGAGTTGACTCGTTGTAGTAGTCGATAATCTCCATGTAAGTCGTGTGTAATGGCTGGTGGCTAAACGGCTCGCTCGGTCTTGGCGGCTCTGGTACATCTACTTTGGCTGTCTCGCTGTCCCCTATATATATGGTGGCGGCGTCCTTTGAAGTGAGCGGCGCGTGTACAGTCGTCCTTGATATGGACCTCACGACTATGAAAGTGGTATTCTTAGTCGAAAACACTTTTGGGTGTGGTCGCATTCCTGGTTGTTTTTATGAGCAAATATATGATATTGCGTAATCCCATTCCTGGTTGTTATTATGAGCAAATACATGATATTGCGTAATCCCATTACAGCACGACCTTCGAGTAACCTAACCTAACGCCTACCCTACAGAGCTATATACTGAGATGAAAACTGAGGTCAAATCTATGACTCTTAAGCTGCGTCGCCGTGCACGCGAAATGCGAACGGCGTTTGGACGGCCGTCAAGGGCGTTTGAACGGGCGATCCGACCGCGTCGGCAAGCGGACGACCGTCTCCGCCGCCTTCGGACGTTCAAAGCGCGAGATTCGCGAAGAAAATCAAACCTCGAGACGCATGTATATTTATTTATTTATTTATTTATTTATTTAATATAAACGGACGTGAGTCCTAAAACATAATAATATTACATTGTGAGTGAAAAAACACATTAATACGTAAAACAATAATTAATAGTTTCTACTTAAAATTAGAGAAATAAAATATATGCCTGTATATAGCGGTACCTACTCGACGATGGCGCCGCGGGCCGTCGGCTCTAAGTGAAGCCGGTCCTCCCCGGGACTCGTCTACGAAAAAGTAGGGCCCCGTGCCGACTATAAATTTAGCGGGGAACGCGAATAACATCCAAACGGGGAAGGTAATACCACTAAAACGGGCCAAGACTCGAATTTTAGAAAATAACGGGGAAAAAAACGACGCGACGCATGTATTTATGCCTGTATATAGCGATACCTACACGGTACCTACTCTCGTTTCCGCGCCGCCGCGGACTCGGGACTCGTCTGTGAAAAAGTAAGGCCTCGCGCCGGCTATGAATTTAGCGGGGAACGTAAAAAATTTGAATTTGACTTAATTATAGACATTTTTTTTTTTTTGATAAAGGTAGATAATCTTATAAAGAATCTAGTATTACATTTTAAAATCTTAGATTTAAAAACAAAAATTTTTAACTCAAAATAACTGTCTTAATTTCGTCTTTTTTCCATATTTTGTCAATTTTTGAACTTTAAATGCTTATAAAAAAAAACTGTAACTAAGGACTTTGATATTTTTCATTTGCCTTTGAAACAATATACTATTAGCCTTCTATTCAATTTTCAAGTATTTTTTACTAAACAAATAAAATTTTATTGATATTCATAAAAAAAAATCTAATACAATTGGGAACTGAAAATATCCCTAAGCAGTTCAAAATATTTAGAAAATATTATCGTGTATAGAAAATGCAAATATAAACAACCAGTGAAAATTGCATGTATCTACGGTAATTTGTTTTAAAGTTACACCAAAAACCAAAGTCGATTTTGTGAAAAAATTTCAGTTTTTTCCTTAATTTTTCTTTAGTTTTTCTTGGCGCTTTTGAAAAATTACTGGGAATTTTAAATTTTAACCTCCCCAATGCACCAACGGTATTCACTTCCCAATCGAACAAGATACTGAAGTTGAAAATTGAAGCATTATTTCGACTACTTATCGTGTACACAGACACAAATAAAATGAAAAAATAAAAAACAAAACAGACATAATTGTAAAATCAATTCATTCATCGTTCAACTCAGAATCTAAAAATCATATACCTAGTATCTCCGGCCCTGATTGCCACTTATAATCTAATATAGTTAAATATGTCACGATGGACATAGGTACTACTGTTCTAAGGAACATTTTATAGAAAATTTCTTATGCATTCTTATCGTTGAAATTGTTGTAAATGAACGTTAGTAGAAGTAACCCACTTCTGATTTTCTATGAACGCATTGTGGTGGTATAATTAATTGATATTTGCAGTGCGGTACTGAGGAACTCATATACGACACATCACACATGTCAGATAATATTTTGGTGATCGTCAAAAAAAAAAAATGTTTATTTTTCACTCAATCAAACAACTCTAATTAAAACAATACGTCACAACGATTACATGGATTCGCATTCTGACAAATTTCTAATTTTCCACAACAAGTAACGATGGATTGATCGAGCCATATTCTTATAATTTTGTTCAGTTTAGGTTTAGTTTTAGGTTAAACTTTAAATTCGAATTTTTGCACATTTTTGAAAAATTAAACAACATTTAGGTATTGCAATCTAAAATACAAAAAATTAAAAATGTGGCTCCATCAATTCGGCGACCTCTCGTAGGTACATATTACGGAGAATCCGAATAATTTTTTTGGAATGAAAATCTGGGCATTAACTAGGTAGTTAAAAGTTAAAATTAAGTTAAAACGTTAAGTTAATTAACTCATTACTTTTTTTTCAAATTAAATTTTAACTTAATAAGTTACTTTTTTTCAAGATTGACGTGTTAACTTCGAGTTAATTTTATTTCAAAAGTATCTAAATATTTTAATTTTCGTCCAAATAATAATGCACATTTTTGAATGAGGTTTTTACTATAGGTTTTAAATTTCCCCTGTAATTTTCTTGAGCGTAAACAAAAACTATCTAATAAACCATATTATGTGTCTGGAATTTTTTATATTTGCAGATTAGCAAATTTTAACTTTAGACTAGGTTAAGTTACTTTTTTTTCAAAGTTAACTTTTAACTTAACGAATTAACGAAAAAAATTCGATTAGTTTATAACTTAATTTAGCTTTATTATTTTGAAATAACTTACCTTAACGAGTTAAGAAAAACCTTTACTTGCTCAGCCTTGGATAATTTACACATAACGTTGGAATTAGAAACAATTGTTAATATTTGTTTTTTCTCTCAGACACACGTGAAACATAGATAACACGCTATTGAGTAATCTTAGAGTAAAATCAACTGTTACAAAAATTATAGAGGATAACATTTTCTAGGGTTGAAATATCGATTTTATTTTTTTCTTGTTATTTGACTTGCCAAATAAATTTAAAATTGTTGTATATTTAATTATCGTTCAGTAATTATTTTGAGACAATATTTAGACAAATCCATATAATATACGATATACCCCTAAAAATATTATTATCTATCGTTTTTGTAATGGGTGATTTTACTCAAACATTAGGTACTTAAAAACATAAAAAAAAATGATTCTGAGTAATGATTTTTGTCTACGTATCATATTTTTCTACCACTAGAAATACACGATTTCTTAACTATTTAAATGATGGTTCAAAAATTAACAAAATGTACATATCAGCTTCTGCCATCATTCAACAGAAGTATGCATTGCACTAACAAGCGTATTGTCAGACATGATCAAGGTAAGAATAAAATGTAGGTAATTATACTTAGTCTAAATAACTCTAGGACAAAGGACATAAAACTCTAAAAAATCACTAAATATGCACTAAATGATTATTTATTATAATAATTATTAATGATGTTTTTTTAAAACTAATTACAGTCAATAACAAATAAAAATATTTAAAACGTAAGACATTTTCACTTTTTTCATTTCATAAAATGTAATATAAGCATATTAGGTACCTATTTAATATAATATGTTATACCTATATGATTTAATTTACATTGGTATATAACAAGACAATTTAGGTAGGTACATATAATATTAATATATTATAATATTATAATTTTTTGTAACATTAAATGTGCATGATAATTAATTGTACACACTTTAAAATCATTTTTAATTTTTATATTATGTGTAAGTACCTATAAATATATATATAAAAAAATAGAAACCTTTATAGTTAAAAAAAATTAATCTCTTATTGTTACTATCCTTTTAACTTCAGTAATATATGTTGTTTAATTAAAAAATGTTCAAAAACTTACTTATTTTAATACTAGTATGCTAAAGTAAAACTAACAAACTACATAATATCAGACGTGCTTCGATAGTGCGATTCAGGTGTGTCTAGTTAATAATGATGTATTTGCAGATGTAGATTCTGGTGTTTCTGTTTGTGGAAAAGTGTATGAATTGTTAAGATTGTCAAAAAAATGTTGAACTTGGGGACCGGATAAAGTTGAAAAAGATGTACATGTCGATTCTGTTGGTGAAGTCTGAGGAAAAGTATCCAGAGTGTGTAAGTTGTTATCTCGAGAAAAATTTGCATTAATCATAGGACCAGGTACGGCTAATATAGGAACCCGAGTCAATGAGGGATAATATGAGTTAATATAATGTGGATGTCGAGTAGTATCTATTTCGTATTTTCCAAGATCAGCAGCGAGTAATAATTTATTTATATCATTTTGGAGAAGCATTCTTGTTCTTTGTGTGTATTTTTTAAATTGGCTAGAAAGGTAATTACAATATAAATCGCTCTCGTCCATTTCTTTTATTGGCTCTTCTGCTATTTTTTTAAATATCTTTAAGGCTTCTTCAATCCGTTCATCAGCTATGGATAATTTTTTTTTTTTTTTATTTATTTGAATCATAATATTAACTTGACACGTTTTGTATGTCCTTAACTACAACTTTCTGATGATCTTGTTCAGAGATAGCTTCAGATGTATTCATAAGATCCGTTTAATAATTTTCTACATTTTCAGTTTCGTGGATACTCTGTAAGTGTAAAATCAAAAAACACGTTTAAAATACTATAATTTTTTTATGGTACATGTAAGATTACATTTTATTGTTTCAAACTAATCAATCAGTGATCTAAACATGCTGTATAAAATACCTATGTCCTATATATATTATTATATTATATGGGTAGGTACCTATAAACAAACACATAGAAACTATTGTGATACCAAGAAAATTATTAAAAGAAATTATAAATAAAAATTAATTTTTTTACAAAAGAACCATAATATTATGTCTAAAAGAAAACACAGATCAAAATGTCAACTTACCTAAATATAATCGATATTTCTTTCCACTTTAAAAATTGTGTAAAAATCAATTCTTGTCTTAAAATCACTACAGAAGACTATACTTACAAGAGAGCACACAAAATAACAATAAAAAACCCAAAAATAATTTTTTGTTGAACAACTATGAACTGAGTTTAAACTAAATGCTTATAATTTTCGTTATGGGTTTTTATAAATTATCTTATCGATGATTAATTGCTTGGTGATTAATTGCTTCATTAAACAAAATACCAATTATAATTATAACTAAAGATAATATTTCTGAGTTAGACGAAAATTAATTAATTGAATGGTTCATTTAAATGTATATAGCCACTAAATCATGTTTAAGGGAAAAAATAGCTCACTCTTGATTCAATAAACGTGATTGTTAATGCCACAAAATAATAATATAGATATGGATTTTATTTCATCATTAGGTATATAGTATTTACATTTAAGAATACCAACATTTATCAAAGACGTGACGTTTAAATAAGATAACAATAAATGTCATAAAATAGATATGATTAGACCTTTAATAACTGTACTACGTCTTCAAGAAGCAATTTATTTTAGACTGGACAGTTTGATACAAGTTTCCTTCCCATATAAAACGTATAAAACATGTATAAATCACTAATATAAAGTAAATTTTATAGTCGGACAACAAAATTATCAAAAAGTATGCTTTATTGATAAAAAGGGACAGGGTAGTAGGTATATCATGGTTGCTCGGATAGGGTCCAAATTGCCGATGGGACGATCTGTAGACTGTAGTTGAATACTTAAATCCCCAAAATTTAGAAGCAATAAAACATGACGTGCTAATATTTAATAGTTTATTCACTGTCGGCTGACATAAAATGTGTCAAAACATATGCATTATTGAGTAAATAAGACAGAGTTTCTAATTGAAAATTCACTGAATGTAGTCTGATTTGCAGACAGGAAAATCTTCAACTACTCCTTAATGATTTAAAAGTTTTAAAATTAAATCATATTGGCTGACACCAAAATTAACAAAATATAAACATAACTGCCTAATCAAGACATGATTCAATACCATAGTTAAATGCATGTTGTCCGTTCATTCTAAGAGACCATCTATAACTCAGTCATTTATGATTTACAACTTTTAAAATGCATATTGAAAACAATATTATGGATTAAACCCTATCGTAACTATTCATTCTTCCTAGACCCTTAAAAGATTCCAAACTCATTTTTGCCCATTCATTCATTAATTTGGATAGGTTAGGTACCCATACAATCAGAAATAATTTTCCTTGTAGTTTTGCAAATTATACTTTTAAAAAGTATTCTAGCACAGATACAGATACTTGCACTACATGATTTTACTACAAATTTCAGAGATGTGGAATAAACCAGTAAAAACGTTTTACTAAATTTCAATTTAATTTCAAATTTGGTAAATATGGAAAACTTGTATAAAATATTTGCAGGTGTTAATTTTAAAACATCGTTGATACACTTAGATAATTTTTCAATCAAACAACTTTTTTTAATATTAATTTATGTATAATACACATGAAAATTGTTTTTTTTAGGTAATTAAATATTTTCTGTGTTAATGAATAACAATGACTTGGGCAACAGTGTTCAGAGAGTAGTTGAACGCATTTTTGACTATACGATATTGTCATTGTATTAATTATTTGGATTCAAATAAAAAATTTAATTTTCAAGTGTTTGAGCTATTGCTTTTAAAATGAAGTGTTTTTGAAACCCATTAGAAAAATATACAAATGACTAATGAGACATCTCTAGTAACAAACTTATATAGTTCTACAAAAGAAAAAGAAATTTATAAAAAATTTCTCATATTTCACATTTTGCATTTTATACATAATGGTTAATAACTCGAATTTTCTGCAATGTGTTATAATTTTTCTAATAATTTACCATTGCTTTGAACCACAATATTAATAATATTTTGTTTTTGTATACATCATTTTAAAACAAACTGTACAGACATTGGAGCAAAATTTGTTACATCTTGGCTAACAAAATATAGAACACCACGGTCAATAAATGCGACTTGGGGAATTTAATTTTACTTTTAACTTTTGTCTCAGTGTAGGGTATACATTGGTTTTGAAATGTTTATCCATTTTTATTAACAATTATATAATTTATTTATTTGAAATTCTCAATCTAGTTAATAAATATTTTTGAAATTGACTCTCTTAAAATTTAAAAATGGGAGGTGCAATGGATTGATACAACTTCAATGAACGGATCACACTATTCCACTTGAAACTATATTTTTGTTATAAAATCATGTATTTCAGAATATTTATCGAGATATTTCATGGGATTAATTTTTCTGAATCTTCAACAAGTTTCAACACATTGTTGAAATCTCGGCATTGCCATTTTTTGTATAAAAATTACAAAAACCCCACATAACTATGAAATGTATTATTCATATGACGTATTATTGTGTATAATGGAACAATTTCAATACAAACCTATAACATGTTCAAAGAATTTTATGTCTTATTTTACCTGTCCCACAATCAAAAAAATACGTGTCTGGCTATTTCCAGTGTGTTTATTTTACGTCTACTATTAGTTGAATAACATGGTTGTATTATAATATTATGATGCAAGTATATGATGTCTATTCTGATGATGTAATTTCACCCATTTCGGAAGGGGGTTAAATTTCAAATGTGGGTTGTACAAATAAATAAATTCCCAAACGGTTTCGTTTTTGAAAACACAAATATTGCTTTATTCTCTAAATAATTATTTAAAAACCTAAGTAAAATTCTAATCAGAATGTTAATTATTATGTTAACAAATTATAAAACAAAGTCCCTTATTCTCTCTGTATGCTTAGATCTTTAAAACTATTCAACGGATTTTGATGCGTTTTTTTAACTGATAGAGTGATTCAAGAGGAAGGTTTATATGTATATAACATGCATAATATTGAAACAAAACACCCCCGGGAGGTGCTCAAACAGGAACTTTGAGATTTACTATGGAAATTATTGTTTATTAATGGTTGCTATGGACATAAAAAAATAGAAAATATTCAAATTAAAAAAAAAAAATAATAAATCTTAATCTTAACAAAGTTCCGCTGTCTGTCTGTATACTTAGATCTTTAAAAGTTTAAAACTACGCAACGGATTTTGATTTTTTTAATTGATAGAGTAATTCAAGAGGAAGGTTTATAGGTATAGAACATGCATAATATAGTAGAGAAACACTGTCCCTTTTTCGTGTGTACGAGTTTATCTCGAAAAGAACTCTACCTATTTTAATACGGGGAAGGTTTTAATGTATACTAATTTTCCTTGGTGAAATTAATTGGGTGACCGAAAATAATAACAATCTATGTCTATATATATAAAAATGAATGTTTGTCTGTAATCTGTATGTCATTGAACTCCTAAACATAACCTCCTAAATCACTGGACATTTTTGTGAGTTTTTGAGTGAGACCCTGAATGGTTTAGATTCACAATTAGACCCAGTTGGCTCAACCCGAAGAGGTGCTCAAACAGGTATTTTAAGATTTACGATGGAATATTTTTGTTTATAAATGGGTGCTATTGGTTATAGCCTATAGAAGAAATAACTAGTAAAAATTAGTATTTTAAATGTTTGCCATTAGTTACTTCAAATTTCGAATAAAGGAATTATATCTTAAAACAAATATGAGCGTTGAATGTATAGTATATTTGTAGCTATACATAGGCCCTCAATAACTACTTGACCGATTTTGTGAAAAATTCTAATTGTTCTTGGAGATATCAAGTATGTTTAAAGAGTACATTAAACCACGTTCGATTTATACCAAGTTATACTTTACATACAAAGTTATACCTCCCTATACTCAATCCACAACAAATAAATTGTTCACCTTGGTTGATTTAGTTCACAAAGCTAAACACATTTATCTGGGAACTAAGGCACCTAGGTAGGTACACCAAAACAAAGATACACTTATATAATGTAAATTTTTGTTTTTCATTTTTTGTCGGGCGAAATCGGGTTATACATACAACTAAAATTGGATGTTGGTTTATCCGAAGTTATGACCAAAAAATGACTGGACCGTTATCAAAAAATGTTATTTCAATCGATTATTACTTGAAAATTGATCACACATGATTTTTTTTTAGCATTTCAAAAATATATTTTTAATTTAGTTAACTTATGAAACTAGTTAGTTAATTTTCTAAACAACTTAACTTTCCTCAGTTTGAATATTTAATAATCATGTAAAGTAAAATAGGTAAATAATAAATTGTCAATTAACTTATCAATCTTGCGCCCTTTTAACTTAATTCGAGTAAATTGTTTTCATTAACTTGCCAACCTTTGGGCCATAATTCCTAAGCCATCATTTTTTTTAATTACAACATGATACATTGTATTTCTAGCCCTGCTTGAAGGTTAAGTGGCGGTGTGAAAATATGCTTAGTATTGTCATAACCAGAATCTGCAAAACTATTAGGCTAATACTTAATACTTTTAAAGTCCCAAGTATTATTTACTAACCATCCCTTATATGTACACTGATAATTTAAATATTC